GGGGCATATCATGCCATGGGGGCCACATGGGGAAGCGTGGGATCGACCACAAGGCTGAGGGAGAAAAGGGGGGCAGGAGCTTTTCTGGTGGTTTCTGTGAGAAGGAATGGGTGAGGTGGGGCAAGCAGGGTTAGGACTGGCTGATCTGAATAATTTTAGGGGCTCTGGGGTGCAGGGGCTGTCCCTAGTTGTCTGGTGCCTGGCCCTGGGGTGACTGGGTGGATTGTGGCCCTGATGTGAAGAAGTCAGGCATCAGGATTCAGGAAAAAAAGACATGGTTAATACAACGAGAAAACCAATTCCCTCTGTTGGGGTGGCTACTGTGTTCCCTGTTGCTAAACATTTGGGTCGGGTTTCTGACGCCCAAGCGAGTTACACACTTCACAGTCAGCTGTGAAAAGTCTAAACTGTGCGGGCTCTTCATGGCCTCCTGCAGTGAGTGTTCCCACGTGCCCCCAAATGCTCTGTTGACCCCACCCACGCTGCAGGACCCAGGGAGCCCCCTGGCCGGTCCTTCCACTTTCACCCAACCCCATCGTCCCTACCCTGTCCCAGCACTGACCCTACGGGTTTGCTCTCTGTCCCCCCTCAGGCCTGGCTCCACCTTAGAACCACCAGGGACCTTTAAAACTCCCCGACCCAGCACCCTCTCCTGCAAAATGAATCACCTCTGCAGGTGGGACTGTGCCTCAGTACTTGTTACAGTTCCCAGGTGATCTGAGAACAGCCATCCTAGACCCTGTCCTTCGGGTCACCTGGCACAATGGGTGGCCTATGACAGGTCTGCAAAACTGAAGGGATCGATTTCCTGAATTCAGAGGTCAAGGGCTACAGCATCAGTGAACTTCGAGCGAGGGCCCCCAGGGACACCCAGGGCAGAAATGCAGGCTTTTCTGACTCTCGACTCTTTGTTCATCTTTGGAGGAGCTGAGCTCCCCAGGTGGAAAAGACCCACGGGCCCACCCACAGGCCCATCTGTGCAGGCAGCTCTTCCGTTTCCACCTGCCTCTTCCAGATGGTGGGGTTAACTGCCGCAGTTCTCCCCCGCCTTCTCCTGCTCTGTCTCAGCCATCTGGCCAGGTACTGTGCAGCCCCCAAAGCCCCACTCTAGGTCAGCTCATGACTTGCTTTGCCCGCTGGGATGGGAGCCAATGTGACACAGGCTTGAGGGGTTGGGCTTTCTATGCTCCTGTTGCTACTGTGGCCTTGTGAGGCCTTGTGGGGCTGGCCTGCCGGAGGGCGAGCCATGAGCACCAGCGCTGAGCTGTCCAGCCAAGGCCAGCGTGTCCCAGCCGGAAGCAGGCAACGCTCAGACGTGAGCACAACCAATACCACCAGAGGTGCCCGGCTGGCCCCACCTGACCTCAGTCTTAGGAGCAAGACTTGCCTGTAAGAGCTTAACCCACAGATCTGTGAGCTTACTCGATGCTCCCGGCTTGTGCGTTAAAGTCATGTGGTTATTCATTGTGGAGCCTTATTGTCCCATTAGAAAAGGAGGTAACCCTTCTCCTTCCCTTTGCAGCTTTAAATCCCCATCTCCTTGAGTTGTGTGCCCTCAGCCCTAACCTACACTCAACCTTCTCCCCACGCTTCCCTAAGATGCTCTTTCTTCCTTCAACTTCATTTTACTCCAGGGATGGTCTTTCTCTGCTTTAGCTGCTGGCCAAGAATACCCCACATCTCAGAAGAGAATTACAGTGCTTGTTCGAGAAGACAAAACCCAGACTGAAGGATCAGAAAGTGCAGCAGACACAGAGTGGGGAGCAGAAAAGCTTGTAGGAAAGCCTTGGATCTTGTGTAACCAGCAGAACTTGAATGTTATCACTAAAATATTAATGCATTTATTTAATTATGTTTATTATAAACAGCCAACCAACTTGTTTTCAGAGAAAACAGTCAATGAGATCCATGAGTAAACTCTTTAAATAGCAGAATGCCTGGGTGGCTCCGCGGGTTAAGCATCTGCCTTTTCAGCTCAGGTCATGATCTCAGGGTCCTGGGATTGAGTCCTGCATTGGGCTCCCTGCTCAGTGGGGAGTCTGTGTCTCTCTCTCCCCCCCACCCCCACTAGTGATCTCTCTCTCTCACTCTCTGTCTCTCAAATAAATACATAAAATCTTAAAAAATCTTTAAATAGCAACACATAGCATCTGTTTTGTACTTTTTTGTAATGTAATTAACAAAAGGTTAAGGGGATCTAATGTTTGTCATGAAGACTATAGTTAGTAATACTGTATTATATTTTTGAAATTTGCTAAGAAGGTAAATCTTAAGTGTTCTCACCATACACAAAAGGAAAAGGTAACTATGTGAGGTGATGGATAGCTAATTAATGTGACTGAGGTAATCATTTCAAAATGTACACATACATACATTAAATCATGTTCACCTTTAAAATATCACATTGTACAACCTAGTATATACAATTTTTATTTGCCAATCACACCTCCATAGAGCCCAAGGTAAAAAAGGCAAAAATGACTAAGAAAGAAAAAAGGTGATGAGTGGCTCCTGACATAAATCAGGAAGAGGACCATGGCCACAGGCTCTTGGGGAGAAGACTTGTGTGTTCTATGGAGAATTTCCTGCTCCTAAATTTCCCTTCTGCACTGCCTGAAAAGGCACTCATGGAATGTTAAAGTTGGGGATGGTGAATGAGTCATTCACTCTTTCGTATGAAATAGAGTTTCAGTGCCGTGTCCCAACACTAGAAGAGACAGCCTGATGAAATAGGAGCTTGGAGAAGAGTGAGGAGGGTGGGTCCACAGGCCCTTGGGAAAGTGTGTGGATGCTGCAAAGCCAGAGGCAGGGTCGGGACACTGTGAAAGCCATGTGGGAGGGGTGGAGGATGGGGCTCTCAGAGAGTTGGGGGGAGGTCTGGAAGGAAAGTGGAAAGGGGCTGAGTGGAGAGGTGAGAATGAGTGTGGAAGGGGAGGGATGGATGGAGATCCAGAGCTCAGGGATGAGGAAACACAGGGAAGGCTGCCTGCCAGCGTCCTTGCATGAGGCGGCCTCAGGAGCACCATGGCCAGGGACTGGGACGACCAGGCATGAACTAGGGAGTCACAGGGGCCCGGGGCTCATTTCCTCATAGATGAAATGGCTGAATTATTCCTACTGAGTTGTGTTCCCACCTTAATTTTACTTCTGGAAGATACTCAGGGCCCTAGAAGGTCTTTACCCAAAGGTCTCTGTCAGTTGTTGGGACAGGACCCTTAGTCCAGACCCCTGACTTCCAGGACAGCCTTGCTATCTGTCCTGCATAACCCAGCCTGGGCCCCTTCTCACTGCCACCTCACCTGCTTCTGAGCACTTTTTATGCCCTGATGCTGTGCTGGGTCGTCCTTCTTTTTTTTTTTTTTTTTTTAAAGATTTTATTTATTTATTTGAGAGAGAGAGAATGAGAGACAGAGAGCACGAGAGGGAGGAGGGTCAGAGGGAGAAGCAGACTCCCTGCCAAGCAGGGAGCCCGATGCGGGACTCGATCCCGGGACTCCAGGATCATGACCTGAGCCGAAGGCAGTCGCTTAACCGACTGAGCCACCCAGGCGCCCTGGGTCGTCCTTCTTATACCTTCACTGTCTTGTCTTATACTTGTGCCACACCTGCGAGGCCCCACTGCTTCTCTTTTATTGCTGCGAAGGCCCAAACTCAGAGGGGTGAAGTGACTTGCCCAAAGACACACAGATGGTTGGGGGGCGGGTCAGCTGAGCACCACATCTGGGGATCCTGACTTAAACATGCTAACGGGGGCCTTGATTTGCATCCTCAGCTCTACCCAGTTCTCCTGGCATCTTGAGGTCACCATTGACCTTCCATTCTGGAGGAATTTCAACCTGCTGCCCCAAAACACCCAGGCTCGTTTCAGCTTCTGGCAGGACATTTGAGCCCAGATTCCACCACTCCCGCTCCACCTCCCATTACCGAGGAGCTTACACAATGAGGTAGGATTCCCCGAGACACACTGGGGACACATACGGGGTCCTAGAGGGGCTTCTAGAAGGAGCCACAGCCTGCAGCTGCTGGGGTCGGGGAGGGAGGCTCAGAGAAGGCATACAGAAGAGGCTGCGGACATCCCTGCATTATGCAGCAGCTCCCCCAGGAAACTCCTCAGCGGCTCACTCCACCCCATCCTCCCGAAAGCCCTTGGGGATGAGGGCCCCAAAGCAACGTCACTGAATTTAGCGTTCAAGGCTGCTGTGATGGTTAAACTGCAAACTTGCCCTAGGCTGTCCGATCAGCCGGGCTGTGCACCATTGGCCATGCCTTAGACCTGTGGTGATGGGCATCACATCCCTGGAAGTGAGCCAAAACACAGAGGCCCAGGCTTGCCAAAGCAAGCCAGGGAATGGCCTTGGATTCTTACCAAGTCCCCCAGGAGATTCCAATGAGACCAAAGTTGGGCATGGAGCCTTGCTTCTCAAAGTGTGGTCCACTGACCAGAAGCGTTGGCTTCACCTGGGAGCTGTTAGAGATGCAGAATCTAGGCCCCACCTCAGACCTACTGAATCAGGGTCTGTATGCACATGAAGGCTTGAGAAGCCAGGGGGAGGGAAGGCTTCGCGGATTACTCATTACTGATTCCTGGCTTGCCAGGCATACACAATGCCATTTGATCCCCATGATAATCTGGAAGGTGGACACCATTTTATGTTTCACAGAAGATGACACTGAGGCTCAGAGAGGTAAGTGATTTTTCTGAAGCCATGGGTCCCCAGGTAGGGGAACTTTCCAGCCCTACCTCGCATTCCCCTCTGCCCCATCATCCCCACACTGGGACATGAGCAGCTATGCCCTTAGCCACGAAACCTTCCAATACATTGGGCTTGACTCACTGTGCCGGACACAGCCCAGAAATTACACAGATTTGCATCCACCAGAATTAAACAAAAAAAGGCTTTCTAATCAACCCTCAAATCCAACTCCCCAGGACCCCAGTCTCCCAGAGCCTCAAACTTCCCGCTGAAAGAGTCTCTGTAAAGCATGCATAACAGGCTTACCATGTTCATCCAGCAAGATGTTGTCTGGCTTGATGTCTCTGTAAGAGAAAACAAATAGGCTGACAACGTGATTCCTATTGAAGAGCACACGACAAACATGAAGCTTGGGGACAAATGCCTGACAACATCCAGAGTGCCTGTCTCTCCCTCAGCATGAGGCTCAGACAGGGAGCAGGGAAGTAATGAGGATAACACAGAGCCTGTGTTCTTGCTTCCTTCTTGTTTTGCAGAACCGCAAGTAGACTGTGAATACTTTCTTCCTGAATATTCTTAACAATTTCTGGTTTTGAGACATCCACGAGTCTGCTCATTGAGCACCTGGTCTCTGCCAGCAGATAGAGATTCTCCCCCACCCCTCTGACATAACGGAGCCCTCCCACCTTGCTAAGGAAACCTCCCCAGGGTTAAGCTCTCTGCTCTACAGATACAGGGAGGAGGTTCCGGGAAGGCTTGGCAATTTGTCCAGGTCAGAGATCAGCCGCCCCAGCCCTCAGCCAGTTTTTTCACAGTGTCTGTGAGCTAGGAAGGGCTTGTATAACTTTAAAGAGTTGTGGAAACAAAATAAGACACACACAAAAAGCAACAACAAAAGGATGTACAACAGAGACTAATGTGGCCCTCAGAGCCTGAAATACTTATTATCTGGTCCTTCCGGGAGAAAGGTTGCTGATCCTTTTTCTTAGGGCAGGGGCTGGGGAGTTTCTGGAAAGTTCCACTCTACATTGCCACGAGAGCAAAGGGCTTCCGGCTCCAAGTTGTGCTTATTCAACACAGGGTTTGCTTTCCTCACCTCTGCTCCACGTGCCTAGCACGATGCCTGTCACTTTTAGACACTGTCAGAGAACAATCAGAGCGGGACAGCAGTCCAAGTGTAAGAAGACATTGTACTCCGGACAATTTCAGTAGGTGGAAAATGGCCTCAATTCTGAACACAACATGGACGAGTGGGAATTTACAGCCCAGGAGCAGGTGGGGGTCGTGGATGCAAAGTTCCTAACTGGAAACATCTGGGGAGGGGAGTTCTGGTGAAAGCCACCCCATAGGATTCTTGCTGAAGGCAGGCTGGGGCACCGAGGACCTGACCAGATACGGAGGGGGGGCGCGGTTCTTGCTAAACGGACACCGCGGGTCCTCGCCAAGACCGGACAACGCAGGGATGAACAGCAAAACCCAAAAGTTGAGGCCTGGTTGCAAAAGAACCCACAAGAGCCTGGATAAAATTTGGTTGAGGAGGCAGAGCTTTTGTCAACACACAGGAAACATGAATGAGGGAGGATGGAAGAATGAACGTAAAAAAACCCCCCCAAAACACAAAAACAGCGTTTGAGAAACTCAACTGACATCTTCAGCCCTGATTTACTATTATTAATATGCACACACTTTCCAAAGCTCTTTATTAAAACCATAGACTTGAGAAAGGCAAACCCCACTCACTCATTTATAATAAATGTCAGATCTTCTGAGACTAATGACACCTTGCTTCGAACTAAAAAGCATTTGCTCCTGAGTTTATCAAATAGTAATTCTACCTGAAAACGCACCATGGTTGTTTGTAATCATGCGATGCAATGTCTATGGCTTTGGGGATGAGAGAAACACTTAACCTATATATTTATTTATTTAAAGATTTTATTTATTTACTTGACACAGAGAGAGAGCGAGAGAGGGAACACAAGCAGGGGGAGTGGGAGAGGGAGAAGCAGGGAGAAGCAGGCTTCCCGCTGAGCAGGGAGCCCGATGCAGGGCTTGATCCCAGGACCCTGGGATCATGACCGGAGCCGAAGGCAGACGCTTAACCAACTGAGCCACCCAGGCACCCCTTAACCTATATATTTAAACTTCTGTTTTCATGGGGACTTTTTGAGCCATTATTGACGAGCATTAAAGCAAATGGGCCCCTGCAGCTGCTGAGTTCACAAAACATCCACAGTGAGCAGAGATGATTCGAGGAGTTCCCATGCGGAGGATGAGCTTGAGAACTCACAAAATTAAAACAAAGGGCAGAAGACCCCAGAGTTAAAGGTTTGCGTATCAAACTAGCAACTGCTCGGTCCCTGTGCAGAGTGCCTCCCAGGAGGGCTCTAATGAAAAGGGGAAATAAGTACTTGTCAAGAATGCAGACACAGCAGCAAAAAATTTTTTAATTAAATTTAATTTAATTTAAATTCAATTAATTAACATATAGAGTATTATTGGTTTCAGAGGTAGAGTTCAGTTATTTATCAGTTGCATGTAACACCCAGTGCTCATCCCATCACATGCCCTTGTTTTTTTTTTTTTAAAGATTTTATTTATTTATTTGAGAGAGAGAGAATGAGAGACAGAGAACATGAGAGGGAGGAGGGTCAGAGGGAGAAGCAGACTCCCTGCTGAGCAGGGAGCCCGATGCGGGACTTGATCCTGTGACTCCAGGATCACGACCTGAACCGAAGGCAGTCGCTTAACCAACTGAGCCACCCAGGCGCCCCCATCACGTGCCCTTCTTAATGCCCATCACCCAGTTACCCCATCTCCCTACCCCCTCCCCTCCTGCAACCCTCAGTTTGTTCCCTAGAGTTAAGAGTCTCTTAAGCTTTGTCTCCCTCTCTGATTTTTAAAGATTTATTTATTTATTTATTTATTTATTTATTTATTTATTTATTTATTTGACGGAGAGAGACAGTGAGAGAGGGGACACAAGCATGGGGAGTGGGAGAGGGAGAAGCAGGCTTCCCGCGGAGCAGGGAGCCTGTTGTGGGGCTCGATCCCAGGACCCTGGGAACATGACCTGAGCCGAAGGCAGACGCTTAACGACTGAGCCACCCAGGCGCCCCTCCCTCTCTGATTTTTTCTTATTTTATTTGAAAGCAATCCCGTAAGGCCTGGCATGACCTTGTTTGGGGTGTGGGGAGCAGGGAGGAGGTGGCTGTGGCCTAGGAAGTATGAACCCCAAAATGCTTGCAAGGACCATGGCTGGAAACCACCACCTCCTCTGATGTTAAAGGTGCCCCCTGAGGCTTTGCACTTGCCCCCTTCCCTTCCCCTTCCCTCCTCCTGCCTCTCTTCGTTCTCACTCCCCTCTCCCTGTCTCCCTTCTTTCCGCCCTCCCTCTCTCCTCCTCTTCCTTTTCTTTCCACCAACATTTTGCAAACACCCCAAGAGCTGGGGTTGCAGAGGCTCCAGACACAGCGGCCCCAAGGCCAAGGGAAGGTGGGAGGGGGCCACTGGAGAACAAACAGCTGGTCACTGGGACAGCAGGGCTCAGGGCGTCAGAGCCAGTCCGAGGTGGGGGGCAGACCTAAGGAGAGGTGACCTGGTGGAGTGGGGTGAATAGTGTTCCCCCCTCCCCCCACCGAGAATTCATGTCTACCTGGGACTCGAGAATATGACTTTATTTGGAAACAGAGCCTTGCGGACGGAATTAGTTAAGGATCTCCAGACGAAAGCACCTTGGGTTTAGGGTGGGTCCTCAATCAAACGGCTTCCGTCTTGGACACACAGACACGAAGGACAGATGAAGAGGCAGCGACTGGAGAACTGTGGCCAGAAGTCCGGGAGTGCCAGGAGGCACCAGGAGCTGGAAGAAGCAGGAAAGGATTCTCCCCAGAGCTTTTGGAGAAGCACGGCCCTGCTGACACCTTAATTTCAGCAGTCTTCTGGCCAGAGAATAAATCTGTGTCATTTTACACCACAGATTTTGTGGTGATTTGCTGCAATAGCCGCAGGAAGCAAACACAGCCGGCCTCGCAGGAGGGGAGCCGATGGAGGCGGCTGGCCAATCTCAAGTGGCAGCCAGGGTCCCCCACAGACCACAGTGTGACCTTAGACAGGCCCACTGCTCACGGAGCCTGCAGGCACCTCTGAAAAGCCCCGTTCACCATCTCTCGTATCATGAGGACCAAACAGGGCACAGCTGTGAGCAGCTTGGTAAACTGGACACCGTGGCTCCAAGGAGAGAGGCTGTCTGTCCAGGTGAGTCCTGCCCAGGAGCAGGCTGCTGGGGCTCCCAGCCCTGCCTTCCGTGGCTGCCAGGGTGACCCCTTCTCCAGCTTCCTTCCTGGTGCACGTTGCATGCACATGCTCCCTGTGGCAGCTCTTAGCACGGAGGCGAACCAATGGTTCCCCAGCATTTATGGAGTGTCCCTTCTGTGGTCACTGGGGACACAACAGTGAACAAGACAGACGCAGCTGAATGGAGCTTGAGCTCCAGGAGGGGAGACAGGCCAGGATGCACGTGAATAAAATGACACATCACAAGTGGGGATGAGTGCTTTGAGGGTCTAGAAGAGAAACCAAAAGAGGTCCTGCTTTTGGTAGGAGGTCGGAGAAGGAGTTTCCAAAGACCTGACATCGGGTTGACACCTGGATGGAAAGAGTTAGTCATGGACAGTTCTTTTGACCTGTGATGCGCTTTCAGCCAAGGGAATGTGACAAAGGTGACAGGGGTCTCCCCCTGCCCCCCCCAAGATGACATCGTATCAGACTCCATCTCTGCAGGCAGGAGTGAGGGATCCTCCTTTGCTGGCTTTGAAGATGGGCACTGTCATGTGTGAGCGGGCCACAGGGTGGGGGCGGCAGGTGCCTCTAGCCACTGAGAGCCAGCGAGGAAACGGGCAGCTCGGGCCTGCTGCCACAAGGGACTGCGTTCTGCCCACAACCATGGGAGCTGCGGAGAGGTCCAGAAACGAGTGCAGCCCCTGGGCACCTGGACCACAGCTTTGTGGCATCCTGAGCAGAGGAACCAGCAAACCTTGGCCCCAGTCCCGACCTGTGGAAGCTGAGAGAGGCAACGAGAGTTGGGGTAAGCTGCTATATTTGTGGCTGTTTGTTATGCGGCAGCAGAAAATTGATGTACTAGCTGTAGGATCTCGGGCAATTTGAGCCTCTTTCCCTCATCTGGAAAATGGAAACAGCCCCTCTGACTCTTGCAGGGAAAAGACAACGAGGTGCTGCCGACAGCCGGCCTGGCCCTGCCCCCATGTCAAAGGACCGTGGAAATGACGGGTCACCTTCACTGCTGTTTACATGGAGCTGGGGAGCACTCGGGAAAAGTGCTTTG